CCCATAGTACCAGAAATGCGTGGCAGCCTAATCCAGATGATAGGGTGGCAAAAGCACTGACCTTCATGGTAAGAGCCGGACCGACAGTGACCCAAGAAATGATTGTAGGGGTTTTATAGGGATAATGGAAAGGAAAATGGAAACTACTATAGTATTTTGGGGTTATATAGGGATAATGGGAAAGAAAAAGGAAACTATTATAGGATATTCGGGTTTAAACATTTGCCAATACTATGGTCCTAGGTTTCTGGCATGATTATGGTATAGGGTATCTCGAAGAGACCTCAAAATCATATTGGCAATTATTCAGGCCCTACAATCCCGATAACCCCCAATAAAGCCGAGTTTCTGCGTCATGTGCATGTTTCTTCCATTTGATGCTCCATTGTGGCTTTGTCCCTATAGAACCTTAGGCCTTATGTGTAACCCTCAGCCCTGCATTCTGCTTGCTGTTTCTTACTTCACTCCGCACCCATTGGCTTTCAAAAGGCGTTTTGATCTGCGCGAGTTCCCAAACGGGGATTTTGCAAACAAGTGGCTGCTGCAGGAGTGTTCGTATTGTAAGCCACACGGTGCCAATGGACCCCTAATAGGGACCCTTGTAGCTTATGGGGATTAATCTGGGGACTACCTAGGGATATAGGGGTTATGTAATGACTATATAAGGGTTATTTATGGTAATGAGATTAAGGGTCCGTATTAGGGGTCCCTTCTAAAGTCCGTAGATTGTTCTTGCCTTCACACCTGGGTTGTCATGGCTAGTATTGGTCTTCCTGCCGCTACGTTGTCCAGACTCCTAGCAATACAAATACGAACCAGTTTTGCGTTGATACCCATGCTTGGAGGGTCAGGGGGACTTAGTAACTAGGTTCGTAACCCTGGTGGCCGATATAGCAACCATACTTCCCTTCATTATGAACCTACTTATTAAGTCCCCCTGACCCTCCAAGTGTCCCCAAGCTATGCCAAAGAGGGGGTTGTCAAGAATCATGAGTTCCTGCTGGGTGCCCAAGTAACTTTGGAGTCAAAAAGGAGCCCTCATGAGAAAATGCTATTATTTCACAAGTCTAGTGTCCTCACTTGACAATGCCCGTGTAGCCCTTGGATTCTCCGGTAGGCAAATGCAAAACCCCACATCCTGAAACCTTACACGCTGAACGTCTAAGCCTCAACCCAAGCTCCAACTCCTTTACCCTGAGCCCTTAACTTATGGATTCTTAGTAAGGAATCTGGGAATATAACCCCTCTATAGCCCCTATACAGTAGATCTCACATTCCCTACCCCTAAACCGCTAAACCCTAACCCCTAAACCCTAACCCCTAAACCCTAAACCCTAACTAACCCCCAGTACGTTAACCAGGAAGTCTTCCTACTGGTCAACTTGGAGTCCGTTGCACTGGGCGCAGTACGTTTGGTCCCCAGCTGCGTCTTAGAAATAGGGTTTAGTGTTTAGGGTTCACGGTTTAGGAGTTTAGGGTTTAGGGGTTTAGGGTTTAGGGGTTTAGGTATCGCCCCCTCACCTCCAAACGTGCTGGGTCTTAGTTGGGAATAAACAGGGTTCATTCCTGAATTCCCTACTAACAACTAGTAAGTGAATCATGAACTAGGGAATTTACAGGTTCGGAGGCTTGAGGATGTTTGTGGATTTAGTGGCTCTCAAGTTAGGATCTTCCTTCCCCCGACTATTCCAAGGTTTTCTGGTGTTCGCTTCTGCTAGGAACCGCATGTTCAGTTGTTATCCACCATTTCACAAATAATAAGATGCGGCTCAGACGGATAGCGTTCTCACATGGGTGGTTGTCAAAATTATGGTCCTTTTTGGGTACCCAAATATTAGGTGCCGTATTATCTTAAGGATCCAGGAAGGGACCATAATTTTGACAACCACCTACATGTCAGATGGTGTAGGAACTGGGGAGTTCAACTACAGGAAGACCATTCAAGGAGGCCACAACACTGCTTATGCATTTTCCGTCGCCGGATTAGGCTGCCTACCAAAAGTGCAAAGCAGCAGCCCTTTACTGGGGTGGTGCTAAGGAACTTAAATTGAGTTTCCATATGATGGGTATATAATAACTGAGGTTTCCTGATTGTAGTAACTTGATTTACGTTCCTGAACAGCAACCCAGTTAAGCCCTAAACCCAACTGCGAAAAAACAAGAGCCAGTCTTCCAGACGCAGGTCAGGGGTTGCTTCACACCCGCACCTGCGCTCTTCGCAACGGAGCCTTTGGAGACTGTGGATATGAGACTGGGTTGCTGTTAAGGAACAGTTTCCTTTTTATGGTAACCTCAAACCCCAGAACCGAAAACCTATATATCCTTTTTTATAGTAACTTAATTTAAGTTCCTTAGCAGCAACCCAGGAGATGCATTTTTCAGCCAGAGAGGCAGGGCGTGTGGTTTGGTTCAGTTGAAACCCAGCTACGCAGCCAGGTATGTATGATTACCAAACATGATGGTCCCAACCTCCTTGTGTCAGTATGATCTGAAGTAATTCACATAGACCCCAAAATTGTTTTGGTACTTCCTGTAGTACATTCATAGGTATAGGTTTTATTATTTGCTCAAGAAGTGTGAATGGCACGAAAGACCACATCAACAAGGGGAATTTGGAAAGTTGTCTCTATACATATAGAACCCAGTATGCTCTAATTCTTATAAAATGGGGCCTCCAATTTGGTACTGCCATTTTAGAAGCCCCATACTAGCATCCCCCTTATAATGTTCCCCTATACAATCCCCTATTTAAGCCCCCTCTGAGGAGTTCAAACTATAGCTCATATGGACTTAGAAGCACTATGTAGATGTCACAACTTCTCTCAACCCCAGGGCTCCCACCAAGGATGACGCGGTTTAGGAGTTAGGGTTTAGGGTTTAGGGGGTCTAGGGTTTAGGGTGACTACTTGACTCTATTACATCACCCAAGAGAAACAATGGGGTAGTCTTTAAATAGGGGGACTCCAATATAGATCCCAAAATATTACAGTCCTTATCACACGGAAGGCCGAAAAGGTACCCCTAATTTGGGAAACCCTAAACCCTATAATGTATCCTTATGTATCCGCTGTATACCTCCTTTAAGGCTACCCCGCAACTTGGGGAAACCCCCAAGTTCATAAGAAGCTGCCAAAGCGCCACTGGTAGGAAGGTCAGCGCGACCGTTCCACCAGAAAAGCCGACAAAGCCAGCGGCTAGCAAGGTCACAGAGGCAGATTTAGGGTTTAGATTATAGATTAGGGTTTAGGGTTTAGGGTTTTAGGTTGGGTACTGCCCCCACTCAGTAACAGTCTATATTAGAGGTCCTATTAAGGGCTATGTATAACCATATTATAATTATTATCCAACTGTTACTGAGAGGGGGCAGTACCCAAGTTTTAGGATTTATGGTTTTAGGGTTTAGGGTTTCGGGTTTCGGGATTTTGGGTTTAGGGCATTGGGTTCAGGGTTTCGGGTTTGGGTTTTAGGGTTTGGGGTTTGCGGTTTGGGGTACAGGGCTTAGCGTTTGAGGTTCAGGGTTAAGGGTTTGGGGCTTACGGCCACGGAGGCGGATACAGCTTGAGAGAGTATAGTAGTAGAAATGATAGTAAAGTAGTGATAGTAGTATAAGTGACAACAGTAGTAGTAAGACTATTGGCAGTAGGCATCCCTAACCATAGCCGGAGTTTCTCCCCACCAGGATTCGGGTTTTGTGATGTCTGTCGCTCAAAGGCTGAGCCTAAGACATGTCCAAAAGGGAACATGTGAGCTATAGTCTA